CACAGGGGTCCCACAGACACAGTGTGATACACAGGGGTCCCACAGACACAGTGTGATACACAGGGGTCCCACAGACACAGTGTGATACATAGGGGTCCCACAGACACAGTGTGATACACAGGGGTCCAACAGACACAGTGTGATACATAGGGGTCCCACACACAGTGTGTGATACACATGGGTCCACAGACACAGTGTGTGGTACACAGGGGTCCACAGACACAGTGTGATACATAGGGGTCCCACAGACACAGTGTGATACATAGGGGTCCCACAGACACAGTGTGATACATAGGGGTCCCACAGACACAGTGTGATACACAGGGTCCCACAGACACAGTGTGATACACAGGGGTCCCACAGACACAGTGTGATACATAGGGTCCCACAGGGTGTGATACACCCACAGACACAGTGTGTGATACATAGGGGTCCCACAGACACAGTGTGATACACAGGGGTCCCACAGACACAGGGTCCCACAGACACAGTGTGATACATAGGGGTCCCACAGACACAGTGTGATACACAGGGTCCCACAGACACAGTGTGATACACAGGGGTCCCACAGACACAGTGTGATACACAGGGGTCCCACAGACACAGTGTGATACATAGGGGTCCCACAGACACAGTGTGATACACAGTGGGGGGTCCCACAGACACAGTGTGATACAGGGGTCCCACAGACACAGTGTGATACATAGGGGTCCCACAGACACAGTGTGATACATAGGGGTCCCACAGACACAGTGTGATACATAGGGGTCCCACAGACACAGTGTGATACAGACACAGGGGTCCACAGACACAGTGTGATACATAGGGGTCCCACAGACACAGTGTGATACACAGGGGTCCCACAGACACAGTGTGATACACAGGGGGTCCACTGCCTCAGTGTGATACATACAGACACAGGGTCCCACAGACACAGTGTGATACACAGGGTCCCACAGACACAGTGTGATACATAGGGGTCCCACAGATACACAGGGGTCCCACAGACACAGTGTGATACACAGGGGTCCCACAGACACAGTGTGATACACCCCAGGGGGTCCCACAGACACAGTGTGATACACAGGGGTCCCACAGGTGATACACAGGGGTCCCACAGACACAGTGTGATACACAGGGGTCCCACAGACACAGTGTGATACATAGGGGTCCCACAGACACAGTGTGATACACAGGGGTCCCACAGACACAGTGTGATACATAGGGGTCCCACAGACACAGTGTGATACACAGGGGTCCCACAGACACAGTGTGATACACAGGGGTCCCACAGACACAGTGTGATACACAGGGGTCCCACAGACACAGTGTGATACACAGGGGTCCACAGACACAGTGTGATACACAGGGGTCCCACAGACACAGTGTGATACACAGGGGTCCCACAGACACAGTGTGATACACAGGGGTCCCACAGACACAGTGTGACACACAGGGGTCCCACAGACACAGTGTGATACACAGGGGTCCCACAGACACAGTGTGATACACAGGGGTCCCACAGACACAGTGTGATACACAGATGGGACACAGTGTGATACACAGGGGTCCCACAGACACAGTGTGATACACAGGGGTCCCACAGACACAGTGTGATACACAGGGGTCCCACAGACACAGTGTGATACACAGGGGTCCCACAGACACAGTGTGATACACAGGGGTCCCACAGACACAGTGTGATACACAGGGGTCCCACAGACACAGTGTGATACATAGGGTCCCCACAGACACAGATGTGACACAGTGTGATACACAGGGGTCCCACAGACACAGTGTGATACACAGGGGTCCCACAGACACAATGTGATACATAGGGGTCCCACAGACACAATGTGAAACACAGGGGTCCCCAGACACAGTGTGATACACAGGGGTCCCACAGACACAATGTGATACACAGGGGTCCCCCAGACACAGTGTGATACACAGGGGTCCCCCAGACACAATGTGTTACACAGGAGTCCCCCAGACACAGTGTGATACACAGGGGTCCCACAGACACAGTGTGATACACAGGGGTCCCACAGACACAGTGTGATACACAGGGGTCCCACAGACACAGTGTGAAACACAGGGGTCCCACAGACACAGCGTGAAACATAGGGGTCCCACAGACACAGCGTGAAACATAGGGGTCCCCCAGACACAGTGTGAAACACAGATGTCCCACAGACACAGTGTTATTTTTAGGGTCCAGCAGATACATTGTAATGCATCGAGGTCCCACGGTTATAAGAAAACAAAGAATTTTATATGAATGGTGCTTTAAAATTCATATGCTGACTTTTATAGTTATCCCGCTTCGCGCGTTTAGCGTGAAGCGGGGGATATAGTATTAGGCTCCGTACGTCCGTACCTACGTATGAAATTGGAATATCTTAAGAACCGTTCACTAGATTCTTTTCATATTTGGTACCCAGGTTCATCACACTATAAGAAAGGTCCAAGTCAGGTTTGGTGACATTGACCTTCATTTCAAGGTCACAAGGGAACTTTCACGTTTTACCTGCATGTTAAGCTATCTCAAGAACCGTTCACTGGATTTTTTTCATATTTGACACCAAGCTTTATCTAGGGAAGGCGCAGGGCCCAGTCGATTTTGGTGACCTTCACTTAAATTTCAAGGTCACAGAGACACTTTGAAGATTTCAGCATATATAAAAATTAACCTACATGTTATGCTTGTCAGCGAGATACTTCAAGAACCATTCACTGGAGTTTCTTCATATTTGACACCAAGCTTCATCCAGGGAAGGCGCAGGGCCCAGTCGATTTTGGTGACCTTCACTTAATTTTCAAGGTCACAGAGACACTTTGAAGATTTCAGCATGTTTAATTGCATGTTAAGATAGTCAGCAAGATGTCGCAAAAAATATTCAGTGGATTTTCTTCATATTTGACACCAAGCTTCATCTAGGGAAGACCCAGGGCCCAGTCACTTTTGGTGACCTTCACATAATATTTAGGGTCACAATGACACTTTGAAGATTTCAGCATGTTAACCTGAATTGTCAGCAAGATATTTTAAGAACGGTTCACTGGATTTTCTTCATAGACTTTTAAGACTTTTAAGAATGTTTTTCAATAAGCAATTTCTTTAGTACTAGTTTTGCATATTTCATACACTATGACATTCATGTCAAGGTCAAAGTCGTCTTGAAAATATGTGTGTGTTTGAACAACTAAAGAGCCAGATATCAAGAGGTTGATTAGTCATGTTTTTGTTGACATTTAACTTCATCTTAAACTTTCATTACTTTATAAGTTTGATTTGATAATTTGCGGTCGGGGATGATGTCACCTTAGTGACAATGCTTGTTTTTTCTAAAATGCAGAATGTCAAAAAGAAGAAATTATCATGGGACCTTCTATTATCGCGGTAGTTAATGTTGTCGCCATCGGGATTATGAACGGCTACTGACATTTAGCATTTTATATATATTTTCAGTTGACTGATCTTTAATCTTCATTTCTGTCACAAATAATGTGACACATGGTCGCAACTCGTTTAATACCATTGCGGCAATTCCGATTGTCTCGTTTGACCCGGAAATTGAAGCAACTCTCTATTATCGCGGTATTGCTATTTTCTTACTATGGCCCGCGGTACAAGCAGATGACACTGTGAAACGTTTACTAAGACAAGTAACGAATCTAAATAGTTTGATCATTAAAAAATATTTAGGAATTTCATTCACATTAGTAATATCATCATGCTTTTAACCCAAACATCAGAAACTTCTATTCATTTGGATACAAGGTAACAATAACGTTACAAAATATTATTTTTCCGGCTTAAAATGTACCATTACAAGTTGCTGCCGTGTGCAGAGTGAAGTTGCATAATACGTCACTTCCTGTTATATTTTTAGCACGGAAAATATGCAAATGACCTTATAGTTGTCGCAGGATTGCTTTTGATGAAGTAAGTTTTGATTCATGCTAGATGTAAGGGCAGTAGGGGTCATACTAGTTTCAAAATGTTCTAGAACTTACTGAAAAGATGAATGCTTTAATATTTCTCCGATTACACATAACATTCCAATGAAATAAATGTCTTTTTCAAGAGCGATGAATATATTTTACGTAATTTGCATATGTAAACAGCCGATGAGGGGCGTGGTGTTTCTGCTTTCCCGATGTTTTTGCGTGCCGCGATAATAGAGAGCCCGCGATAATAGAGAGTCCCAGTATATAAGGCAAAGTTAAAATGTAGTCCTGCTTGATTGTAAAAACATATGGTATAATAAATGAACAGTGATTTAAAGGGCTTATGCTTATTGAATAGGTTCTTAGGAATAAATGAAATGGAAAATGATTTATAATGTTGAGAATCGATGTAAGGATATCAAGCTGGTATTAGAGATACAAATATTTGATGCAGACTGAAACACTATAACCATGATAAGACCAAGAACATGAACAGACCATGTGCACTTGGGGTTACCAGGAACTATAATTGTACTATACCAGCAAACAGTCAGCTTACATCCACAGCAGACAGCACTATCATCTGAAGGCGGACGTATGATCTGTGTGCTATGAACTTTATCAGTTTTCTTTATTTAATGTGATTTAATATTTGTCCAAGCACCACTTTATGTATTGCAATATGCATTGAAGAACCAGTTCTATTATCGATACATTGAAACATATACCATAACTAGTGAATTTGAATGCTGTGTTTAAATTTGGTATCATCACAGCTTCATCCTTGTCCTACGAGGGTTTAAGGTAATCTGGATGAAACATTTCTGTAGCCATGCTTGAAATCAAGCAGCCATAAATTCAGCACGTTTAATGTATCAGTGGAATCAAACTGAAACTCAAAGCAGTGTATCAGTACTGAAATTCCATCCTCACACCAAAGGTTGTTCGTTCTTTATCATGCTAGTATTAATGGGATCCAGAAAAATAATGATATTCAGCATGTTTTCAGGGAATTGGAAATGTAATGGAATTTGCCTTTATTTCAGGCAATCACTGTTGGGAAATCGTGGAACGGACACATTTGCCTCCAGTGACCCCTGGGGGGATGAATGAGGATCCAGACAACTTCCGAGGGGTGGCTAATAATGAGATTCAGGCTCAGCAACAGGATATTATTAGAGGTGAGCAGTTGTGTGGAAAATAATATTTAGGCACTGAGGCTTAGTTGTTAAGAAAGCCCTGACATGTTGCGGTAGCTTTCTAAAGATGCAGGGGATAATCTGTGAATAAAAAAACATTTATGGTGCCTGCATGGACATATAATTGATGATATAGAGAGGGAAATTGCAAACATCAATCGAAGTATGCTACCAATGATCCAGACATTACATGCACTGTAAATAATTGTCGTAATTAGGTGTCCAATGCTTAATGATAATGTGATTAGTCATTTAAAAAAAAAGAGACTACAAGTTTTCTCGAGGGTAAAAATATTAATTTGCTGCAGGCTTATACAAACCATTTTATGTAATGAAAGCTTGATATGAGGACACCCATTATAATGAGTAGTTGTGGTGTGAACAGTGTCAGTTACATCAAGGCATGTGGAAGGCATAGCAACTGAGGCACTTAATGGACATAGGCAACTTGGGTTAAAATTGTCAACATGGCTATGGTGATGAGAGGTAAAATGAGACAAGACTTATATGACAGCATGTGTGCATGTGTGTTAGTCGTCACAAATGTTGGTTTCCTGGTACTATCCCATAAAGATGCCAAGCTACAGTTATAATAAAGATACCAGTCACAGTATACTGACTCCAAGCCAAACATTCTTTGGTTTATCCCCTGAATGGTGAGCTCAGGGTAATAAGAAGTATCATCATTTAACCTCTCTTGGTGTGAGACGGCCTCCGTGGTGTAGTGGTTAGAGCGTCCGCCCGGAGAGCGGAAGGTCGCTGGTTCGATCCCCGACCGAGTCATACCAAAAGACGTTAAAATATGGTACTTGTTGGTCCCTGCCTGGCTCTCGGCATTAATGGGTACAACAAGGACTGGTGGGCTCGGAGTCAGTATAATGTGTCTGAGTGGGGTCTTCATGCTTCACTGCGGCATGGTATCTCAGTGGGCTAGCACTATAAAACCAGCTTAAGTCTGGGCTAGTACAAGCAGCCGCACATACACATACACATGCATGCACGTCGTCATATGAGCGAAATATTCTCAAGTACGACGTAAAACCCAGTTTCACCTCACCTCACCTCTTGGTGTGATATGGTTGGGAATGAAACCACCAACCCTCTACCCCTCTCGGCTTACGCTCTATCCACGGCAAGGGCAGTACGGTGCCTACAGACCTTGGTTCATTCTCTCTAATGGGTTCATAATGTTCCTGACATGTTACATTTTCATGATCACAAGTTGACACCTCTGAATGTTTAATCCCAGTACAGTAAGTGACACTGTTCAAGCACCTAGTTTTCTGTGTAATGTAATGGGACATAGAGGGGCGAATGTAGGAAGCTGGGACGTGTAACTTTATGTCTAGGTTCCAGAAGCAGCCAGGTAGTCAAGTGGTTCAAGGGCTTGCTTGTTTCCATCATGCTGATGTGATGCACTACCTTGTTAAGCCTTGGTGTCCCACTCCTTCATACTACTTGAAGTTTGCAGAAACCGGTGTAAAACCATTTACAGACTCCTTCAGTATTTGGGGTTCATATTGGTATTGGAGATGTGAGTTTCAACATTAAATGAGACAACGACATTGTTTAGAAGTTTATTATTTATCATTCTAAGGTGCTTGCTAAAATATGAAAGGTGCTGACTCTATCCTGTGGTAAAGTACACTTGGTGGCGTGTGGTCACGAATCAGTTGAAGTTAAGCAACGTCGAGCTCAGACAGTCCTTGGATGGGTGATCGTGTTTGGCAGCTTGACTCCTGAGAGTTTCTAGGACGTCAGTCCTGCCCCGCAACGAAGCACATGTGATACATGTGGTCTCACCTTAGGCAAGTGAGTTTGTTCAAAATTGCCTCTGTTCACCCTGCAGAAAAGGGGTACCCGGTTGGATAAGTCATGTGACTATAACCTTCTAGCGCCTAAGAGGCAGCTAGGGTTATCTGTGGTAATAAGAATCAGATTCTGATTAAGCGCCGCGAGACTGTGCGCTATAGAAGATGACTTATTATTATTATTATTATTATTTAGTTACATCATAATGGCCTGAGGTCATGACGATGTCTTAATTACCTCCTGTGAACTAATGGGTGAAACACGGCTTTTACAACAGTATGTCAATTGAAAGTAATCAGTGACACTGAATGTTGGTGATGTTAATGTTTTCGTTTGGCCCCACAATGCATTTGTGGAATATTTTGAAACTAAAGCTAATGATTTAAAAAGCTTGAATATTAATCCTTCTTAAGGCTGCATGGGGTTATTGGTAGTCAGACACTAAACAGATACTGAAATGTGACTTATTTAAACTATAAGCTACAAATTTTAGTTGTGTTTTATTATGCTCAAAATATGCTTTGTCTCTTAAAGGGTACAGCATTAAAGTGGAACAGCCTGTTAGTCAACCCTGTTTGATAGTTTCAATTTAAGACACTACTTACTACAGGTTTCTGATAAAATACATTTCTAATTAGACACAAAGTTAGTCCATAATTCAGCATCTTAGAAAAGTAACAAAGCTTCTTCATGCTTTAACTCTAACAGTTCAGGGCAAATCTGTACTATATCAACTGCACATGGGGGAGCAGACTTTTTTCCTAATTGTGCATGTATTTATCTGTCAGCACAAAACCTCTGAATAAAGTTTAAAACCGTTTAAACTGAATCCTTCGTTTCCACCGATACGCTACTGGCATGCATTAGCGGCAGTATAGCCATGCTGAAAGCAAACAGTAGTTGAGAGCACTCACAATGTAACAATATGAAACATGTCGTCCTAGGTTGTGAGTTGTAAACTGCACACATTACTCTGAAACTTGTCAGATGGGACTTCATTCGCTTTCTGCAGGTACTCAAGGGAAATCACTCTGTAACTAGGATTCAGTTGCCCCACATTGTCACCATATACACAGTGCTCTGATCATCAAGGAATCACAAGTTGAATTCATTTCTAAAGCGAGCAGTTTTACTGCTTTGTATATAGGCAGCATTTGCCAACCTGTTTCAGAAATTGGATAACTGACTGTTGTGTGTAAAACAAACTATTTGAATGCACATATGGCTATGATCACTTTGTGACAGGGGGGACAAGGTGCTGTGCAAGATATATATTTCTTTACAGACTATAATCATTATAATTAGACTCCTGGCTTCATAATCTCACAACTGCCATCGCCACAACACAAGTGTGTGGGTTGTGGCATGTGACTTGGTTAAAAGCTTCAAGATCATATTACATTGATTACACTACATTAAGATTCCATGCTTTCATCTGGAAATTTATTTATTTCATACAAAAGTGGACTAAAATTATCTCATCCCCGCAGGAGATAAAATAGTCGGTGCCTAAAACGTGATATTATCACTTCAGTTCCTCATAGTTTTTTTATCAGCTCTAAGACTTCTCGAAAGGAGATGAGCCTGGAAGACAGCCGCTCTCCCTCAGGTTGTAGTGCTAGTCAGTCAGGCTGTCCTGAGTCTGGACAGTCAAGTCTCTCTATTCTCACACAATCATTACCTTCATCCTGCTATGATTAAGAGATCCTAGTCGTCATCTTATGTGTGATGTATACTGTCTAAGTCCCTCGTTATTGGGATGGCATTGTCGATTCGGACGTTGATGAGTGTCGCACAAAAATTTCAATCACCGTTATTGACGACTAGAAGGGGCGAATCACAATCATAGATTAAATTGATGAACTCTCGATTGAAGGGAAATAGACTCAGGCAAGAACTCCATCACTTGAAATACTCGGGGGAATATTTCAATTTCATGCCTGACGTGGAGATGAAGATTTACCATTGACTTTTATTGCCTGGTCAGAATGCCCATTTATTGGTAATTCCGTCAATATTTGTGAGAAGGAAGTATCGTGTTGAGAAGGTCAGAGTAATCCTGAAATTTATGATGAATGTTCGAGATTTGATGATAACGACTGACGGTCAGCCAGCTGACAGATAATCAATTTTGGCACAATTTTCTCATTGTAGAACAAGACCAGGGGTTGGAGGCTTTGTCGAATGTAATAGCACGACAGAAGATGATGGCTGTTGATATTGGCAACGAAGTGGATAACCAGAATGGTAGGTATTGAATATTCAGGGAAACATTGATGCTTCCATTAATACCATATATTGGTCATAGCAAAATGATTATAGTTGCAACTAAACTATAAGCATTATTGACAGATATTGGAACTGTTGGTTTTAAAACACCAAATACTCAATACGTTTTGCCTCATGATTTCACAGTATGCTAGCGACAACTATGATAACTTGATTCTGAGAAGGGGCCTCTGTAGGGTGAGGGGAGGGGCTGTGAAGGTTTTCACTCATTAGGCTAAAGGTATGGGTTCAAGTCCCTACAAGCCCTTTTCTGATATTGTTGGAATATTGCTTAAGGTGGTACAAATACCATACTCATTCCCTGAAAACACACCTGAAACCCTCCGTGTGTTAAAGTTGGGACTCACACTTAGACAACAAGCATAAAATGTGTAAATGAGGTTACTACTGTAATTAATCACTCTTGTGAAGTGCCTCTTTATGAGTAAATGGTAGTATTGACCTACTGTCAGGACCACACAACAAACTGGCAGACCCTTGTTCTGTGGACTGCCCTCACTTTATACTGGGCCAACATGAGGCCTTATAGGGTTATCTGTCACTTCCAGCACAGACACTGTGGGCTCTTTGTTTATCTGGGGCAGTGGGGTAGCCTAGTGGTTAAAGCGTTGGCCTGAAGACCCAGGTTCAATTCTCAACATAGGTACAATGTGTGAAGCTCACTTCTGGTGTCCCCGCCGTGATATTGCTGAAATATTGCTAAAAGCGGCGTAAACTCACTCACTCACTCACTCTTTGTTTATCTGGTTTGATATAACATTCACAGTGCATAATTATGGAAAGTCAATCAAATTATATATATGCCACATGACATTGTATGAACCACGTGGAGTGTTGTTTCAGCAAGTGATTTTGTTAAAAATAACCTCTGTTGACTCAGCAGTGAATGGGTACCAGGTGGGATGAGATGGTCATGTGACTGTCAACCTTTCAGAGCCTCACAGTTAGCTTACGATGTATTTTCCCAAATATGGATTGTGCACTCTGAGCAACTGACTGGATAATTAGGGTGCACTTTGACCATGACATCCAGTATTTAATGAACTATTATTACAATTATTATTGAATAGTTCATGCCAACATGCCTAACAAGAATGATAGTCAGTGTCATAACATGATGTGAGAACAGTTCTTGTATCTTTGTGTTATGGGTTTTCAGACACTTAATATCATCCATTGCTGTGTCTATTATCACTTAAACAATTGTAAAACATGTCTTATATCATGAAAGATATAATAAACTAAACACAAGCCATCACTGAAGAATTAACAATGTCTGTGTGATGCAACACCCGTCATTACAGCCCGAGTAAGCAGTGCCATCCGTAAACGTATGCCTTACGAACACCTGTGATATATATGAATGGCAAGTAACAAGTACTATTATGTGGACAAGAAGATGGTGTCAGGTATTGGACTCTTATTCTGCTGCTTCCCGTTTCCCATTGATTGTGTGGCCACACTGCACTCAGCCATGCCACATGTATGCTGGAACTTGCAGATTCTGTCATGAACCTCATTTTGTGACCCATTGGGTCTGATCCGTCAGCTGTTCCAGTTCTGTCAATAGAGTAGAGTGGCTATTGTCCACTTGAAATTAATATCCATAGACAAGCCTCTGTGTAAAAGGCAAAATACTCCAGCAGCAGCTTCCACAACAATCAGTGTGAAATATATGAAATTGCATGAGCACATTGAGGTGGAAACTGTTGACTGCCTGACATAGATGCTGAGTATTATTTAATCAGGGCTTGGGTAAATCCAATGTCTGGGCGTTACGCTTCATTACAGACCTGATGGTTACAGTTCCAGTTGCTAGTGTGTGATTGATCAATATCATATATTGACTCAACCTTTATGCTTTGGATTCCTGTTTGAATTTACTGTTTGCCATTTCATTAAGTTTGATTACCGATCAGAACTTATATATTGGTTTGTTATTCTGATTTTCTGAAAAGATTATGTGGTTATTAGTAAAAATAGCTCTACAGATTTTATTGATAAGTTTATTTAAAATGCTTAAAGTATGTTTAACATGTTTAAAGACAGTTCTTGAAAGACATTTAGAAGTTAGACGAACATGAATACATGACATGTTTATATGGATAACAACTTATTTCTATTCTTCATACAAAGTTTCAGAGCTAATTCTTGCTCCTTCATCAGGTGAATGATGAAGGGGCAAGAATTAGCTCTGAAGCGCCGATATTCATGTGTCATGTATTCATGTCTAAAGACAGTGCACTTGGTGCATTACATAAACAATGCAAACCTGTGTGGGCTATATTGCTTGTGTGGAGGTTGAAGGGAATGTGAATGTAGTTTAAAATCTAATCTGTCTGTTTTAACTTGCAGAACTTATTGATGATATAACTGACCACACGGACCGAACTGGGGAACGACTGATCAAAGAAACATCCCACATTAAGATTGTAGACCGGAAGTCCAACACTTGTGGTAAGTGTGTGTGTCATGGTAGTATCTCTCAAAGGGTATGTGGAGTTGGGGGCTGTGGTGAAAGGGGCTGGAAATTGCTGGACAGAGTTGTACTACTTTGCTGTGGGCCAAATCCAGTTAATATCCTAATTCTGTTCTTGCTCGTGGGTTTTGAGGAAGAGGTAGACATTGTCATGCTGCACTGGGTGTGGTGGTGGCTGTGTGGTCTATGTTGATTTTGCATCCCTCTACAAAAACCTGGGTACAATGTGTGAAGCCCATTCCTGGTGTCCCCTGCCGTGATATTGATTGGATTTGAATTTCACAAAAAGCAGCATAAAACCCAACTTACTCACTGTACAAAAACCTGCTGATTGTGGTTGTGACTTTCAGTTCTGCCCTTATTTTAATTCTTAGTTATTAGCATCAAGTCCATTCCCATGTTGTTTTCTTGAACTGGCTTGATGAGTTTTGGCTTCCTTGTCCATTAAGCTAAAATACTTTACTGAGCAGCTTACTCAGCAGAACTGGTTTGAATACATTATCAGCACTGAATGCCTGTTGTTTAGAAGCAACTGACTTTGGTCAGACTATCAGGGTAAATGATGCTCATGATGTTTTGTGGTAAGTTGAATGTTGGCGTAACTGGTTCGGGACTTGACTACTGGCAGGGTGTTGTGATATAGATGGAGTAATGCTGACTGGTGTAAAGCATCCAACAAAGTGGAATGAAACACACTCACTCACTCACTCAATCTGTGTCATTTAGGTTGTCCTCCCACAAGCAGCATTACACCAGACTCACAAACCAGCCAGATTTAACTGTTTGACATCTCTACCTTTGTGTCATGGGAAAAAGTAATACTATTGTACTTTTATGGACAGGACTAAGTCTTCATTTTGTCATATCTACTTTCTGTCTCTGCAATCCTTTATTGATCAAGACAGGAGTTAGGGAAGCTCAGACACTTAAGTGTATTTAGCTTGCTGGGTTAATTGCTTGGGTACTACATATTACAGCATTATGTAGAGCCCATGCGACAAGCAACAGTCAGGAAGTCATAGCTACAATAATGATAAAAGTGGGGAGTTTGGGTTGGTGTCAGTTGAAGGCTTTATGAGTGGTATAATTTTTAACTTACCTTACCATAGGTCTTATGCATATTACCTTAAGCTCAGCTTAGAAGAGATCAGACAGTTGTTGATTCGCCATTCTCTCGAATGGCTGCCTCAGGTATCTACGAGTCTATAGGCACAGAAGTGACGTGATCTCCCCTCTCGCGTAAGCGCGGTCTATCCAAAAATCACTTTTACTTTAAGCGTGTTACATGTCAGACGTTTGATTTCCCTTGCTCGTTACGTATTTTCTCTTTCAGATTTAAGTTTTTGATTTCTTTTTGGTAGGTATGGTTTTTATTTCTTATTATTCTTCTCTGTGAGGGTGAAGAATATAATAAAAGTAAACTTCACCTACCTGGCTGCCTCGTGTTTCTCACTTTGGTGTGGGGTGTGTTCCCACGGCTCGCGAGTGTCTCTCCACTTGGCATGTTTGATGTATTGCATACTCCTATGTCTCTTTCATCATAATGTTCATGCGGGGTGTTGTATTCCTTCATATTTTTGCCTAATCCTTCATATGCTTGCCTAATTTTGTGTTTTTATCACACGCTTCTCGGCTCAGTGGGGGGAGCCATCTTGGTTGTTTGTCTACTGTCTCGCCTGCTTGGGTGTGCCCATTCTTGCTGTAGGAGGTGCTTCCATTTTACCTGCAGGTTTTTTTTTCGTTGTGTGTTTATGTTTTGTTACGTTTTGATTTTTTTTTTGGTGTGTGTTACAGCTTTGTGCATGACCCGGCAGTTCTGTAGCATCTGCAGGGTGCAGAAATCTGCCAAGGATCCCCATCCATGGTGTTCGGACTGCGCCACAGTCGTCTGTTCCCCTGAACAGTGCTGTCATTTTTGCTCCCTGTTGTCTGTTGCTGATTTCAAGGCCTACATAGCAGCCAAGAAGAAACGGTTATCACAGTGCAAGATGAAGATGTCGTCTCCTGGTTCTTCAGTGGGATCCCGATCCTCTCTTCCTCGGACGCCAGATGGATGTTCCTCTCCTGCAACAGTACAGACACGTACTCCTGCGCCGTGTCTGTTGACGCCTGAAGCCCAACAACCGTCTGACGCTTTTGTTGATTTGTCTCGGCCAGATGCTCTATCACATCCGGAGGTTCAGAAGCTTTTTAGGACACTCCTCTTGCCGGCTGCAGTGGAAGCCCAAGCCAGCGCTGTGCCAGCACCTAGCGCTGCCCCTCCGCCTAGCGCACTTCCGGCGCTGACGACTGCAGCACTCAGCTCTGATGTGGCTGGGTTGTTTTCTCAACCAGCGCTTTTTCCAGGGGCGACGCCGACGACATTGCCTACGTCAACGCCAATGACGCCGCTGGCAGGCTACCATCCCTAAGAAGACACGTGTCTCTACGTTGTCTAGAGAGAAAGACTTGCAGCGGCAGTTAGTGGAAGAGCATTCCCGACGCCAGGAGGCTGAACGTTCCCGGCGTTCTAGGCGTTCTCGCTCTAGGTCTCCTCGTCACCTCCGTCGATCCAGGAGCCCTCGCCTTAGTCTGATTCTTGTCATCGCCAACGGGAGCCCCGACGCCGCCCGACAGGGGTAGGTCTCGCTGAAGATGGGAACACCTGGGAGACCGGCTACAAGCTCACCAGTAGGCGGGCAGGATGTCGCCCAATTGGACAATCCTGACTAGAATGCCCCAGTCACGCGTGTATGCTCCAGACCTGCCAATGGCAGTGTCACCTGCTTGCAGAGACAACATCCAGACTTTGCTAGACAAGCAAGCTATAGAGACCCCCAACAGTCCCCTGGGTTCTACTCACCCATCTTTCTGGTTCCAAAGAAAGACTCGGGGGGAAAATTCACAACATGGCAGTTTTCAACCACCTTTACCTGTCGGAGCCGCCTCATTTCCGGACAATATGCCTGGAACAGCTTCGTGCCAAGCTTGCGCCCGGGACCTGGCTGGCCAGCCTCGACCTCCAGGATGCGTAATTACATGTGCCCATTTACCATCGTCACAGGAAGTCCCTGAGGTTCTTTTTCAATGGTTCCCATTACCAGTGGAAAATGCTTCCGTTTGGAATTTCAACGGCCCCGTGCCTTTTTACTCGGATTACCTCGCCAATCACCCAGTTTCTCCAATTCAGGGGCATCGATTTCGACCCTTATATAGACGACTGCCTCATGACCCACCACGATCCTCAGTTGCTTCGCAGACAGATGACTTTCGCCATGCATCTTCTGGAAGCAACTGGGGTGGATTATCAACACAAACAAGTCGCACCTGGAGCCGTCCCAGGAACTGACGTTCATAGGAGGGTTATTCCTGACTCACTGCGACCTAGACAGGGTTCCACAGGATCGCTGGAGGAAGATTGTCAATTTCGCCAGTGGGGTCTGTCCCAGCCACTCACGCTCAGGGAGTGGCAGTCCCTCTTAGGCCTCCTCACCTCAGCCCAGGACTTGACGCTCAGAGGTCGCCTGATGCTCTGGCCGTTACAGCGCTTCCTCTTGCCTTACATCCAGGCAGACGATCTTCAGTCGAGATTCTTCTTCCCTCTACATCTCCAGGCTTACTACCGCTGGTGGACTGTAGAGTCGAACGTCTGCGTAGGCGTCTCCTTGACAGAAATTGCTCACGATCACGAACTTTTCGTAGACGCGTCTATTCAGGGCTGGGGTGCACACCTCAGCGACCAGACCACCTCGGGGCTGTGGTCCTCCGACGAACTAGGCTGGCATATCAACAACTTGGAGTTCCAAGCAGTCATTCTAGCGGTTCGACATTGGATTCCTCTGCTGCAGAACACCAGGCTTCTGATAGTGTCGGACAATTCTAAGGTGGTGTGGTTGATTCGCAACCAGGGAACAACCAGGTCCAAACGGTTGTTGGAGCAGACCTTCCAGTTGGTCGATCTCCTGGACAACAATGGCATCAGAGCCAGAGCCCGGCACATCCCAGGTTGCAAGAACATTCTAGCAGACGCTCTCTCAAGGCCAGGCAAGCCATCGCCAACAGAGCGGATGCTACATCCAGAAGCGTTCAAACTTCTATGCCACAGTCACGGTTGCCCTCTGATCAACCTGTTTGCGACCCAGTTCAACAAACAGCTGCCGTTGTACGTGTCTCCAATTCCAGATCCGGCGGCATGGGCAGTCGACGCCATGTCCTTGTCGTGGGAGGGTCTGGACGCATACGCCTTTCCACCACCAGTTCTGCTGCCAGCAGTGTTAGCAAAGCTCAAGACAGTGGCGATTCGTCTGCTTTTGGCCGCGCCTTGGTGGCCAACCAGAACTTGGTTTCCGGATCTGCGCCATCTCGCCAGAAGAATTCCGCTAAGGTTGCCAGAGTGGCCTCATCTGGTCAGACATCCGCAGAGTCGACAGCTGCATCCCGATCCGACTCGATTTCATCTGTTCGGTTGGATCATCTGCAAAGGGCGCTAAAGGCTAAGGGCTTCTCCACAGGTGTTGCTAAGGTTATTGCTCGTGCTCATCGAGTTTCCACTAGGTCACTCTATGATGATAAGTGGATTTCTTTTGAGAAGTTTTGTGCACAGAAATCCAAGGACCCGTTAAAAGCCTCTCCTCAGTTTATAGCAGAGTTCCTTCCTTTCCTTCGACAATCCCGGCGCCTTAAGGGTAACACTATAGGAACGTTTTTGTCGGCTCTTAACTCAGTGTTGGCACTCAAGTGTGACAAGAAGATTTCCAAGGTGCCGGAACTCATCGCTTTACTTAAAGCGTTCAAGCTAGAGGACCAGAAGGCAAAGTTTCGTCCTCCTGCTTGGGACCTTAACATCATTCTTCGGCATCTGAGAGGTCCGCCTTACGAGCCCCTGGACTCAGCTTTTCAGCCCAGGAAAACAGCTTTTCTCTTGGCCCTGGCTACGGTGGCTAGGGTCAGTGAGATCCACGCTTTGGATGTCACCAGGGTGCGGTTTTGAGCAGTCACGACATGGTCCTGTTCATCTGGGACTGCTTTGTGATTTTGTGGCTAAGAATCAGCTACCAGGACAGCCGGACAGAATGTTTTCCATTCCTCCTTTGTCTTCCATTCTAGGACCACACGACGCTGAGGAAGAGCTGCTTTGTCCTGTGAGGGCTCTTAAGAAATCTCTTATCTTGCCAAATCATCATCCAGGAGGCAGTCTCGCAAGACTGTTTATTCCCTTTTCCTCGGTGGCTAAAGGGGAAGTTATAGGAATACTATTGCCCTCTGGCTACGTACGACCATCCTGGCCGCCTACGATGCACAGGGTCTACCTAATCCTACAGCCAATAACCCGCACGAGATTAGCGCTCCGGCGTCCACTATGGCTCTCCATAGGAACTGCACCGTTCCAGCCATCATGGAGGGATCCTTCTGGAAATCCTCTACAGTCTTCGCTAGCCACTACCTGCGGATTTGGCCGTCAAGGATGTGGAAGGGCTGCAATCCTTTGGTCCTCTGGTGGTTGCCCAGCAACTCACCCAACCTACTGCCCATTAGGTAACTTCTTCTTCTTACCTTTTGGTCTTAAGGTTAACTTACGCCCTGGGTGTGTTTGTTTTCCTTAGGGTTTCCTTGGATTACTATCTGTTTCCTGTTACAGGCGCCTCCTGATTCAGCCTGTCGACTCAGTTAGTTCTCTTTGGTTGCTCTTGGCATGTGGTCTTAGGACAGTCCTCTGGAGCCCGACACCGCCGTCCTACTGTCGAATCCATATGCATAAGACCTATGGTAAAGTAAGTTAAAAATTTATTGAAATCTAAATATTTTACATATTTAAATACTTACCTTACCATAGGGCGGTAACTCCCTCCCAACGCTGGATGCTCCTCCCTCCTCTGGGCTCTTCGGACCTGGTCAGTAAAAGTGATTTTTGGATAGAATGCGCTTGCTCGAGAGGGGAGATCACGTCACTTCCGTGCCTATAGACTTGTAGATACCTGAGGCAGCCATTCCAGAGAATGGCGAATCAATGACTGTCTGATCTCTTCTTAGCGGAGCTTAAGGTAATATGCATAAGACCTATGGTAAGGTAAGTATTTAAATATCTAATATATTTAGATTTTCATGATTTCTAGGTAGAAGTTTATGATGTGAGTTTATGTCTAAGTAACCAGTAAAATGGGATGATTAAAACAGCATCATGATGACAATCCTGTTTATTGTTTCAGGTTACTGGATCGCCATCGTTCTCCTCTTCATTGCTATCATTGTGATAGTGGCAGTGCCTTACAATAAGAAACCCTGAAACATACATGTGAGTTGACATGCCTGGACACATGTGGAGGGAGTGACTTACTGGTAACATTTAGTGTTGCCTCTACAGTATCTCCAACAGAGAGATGATGTGTACTGTGTTGTATCCTCCTGGTGTGGAGTCTACTTGGGCTTGCTTATTGATGGGCCGTCAGGGACCGCAAACTGCTGTGTCAATCCGTCATGGCTCCTATGTGATTAAATTGTATCCATGTATTTCCACTCCAATCACATGATTCTAATCTCTTCTGTTCTATTGACATATGTGTTTTCGTGGGTATGCTCACATCATCAAAAATCCCAGACAGTCTTAACATGAAAAGGGCATGGTTTTTTATTTGTCAAGCCAGCAAGGCATGTTCCCCTTATTAACCTTACAGTCTTGTTGCCACAACATTGTATGTGAATGTATAACTGTTGGGCCATGGGGTTGTATAACAGGTATATGTGATGTGGAAAGATTTGCCTATCATAAAATAAAATGAAAATAAGATGTTAATTTGTATGACTGTTCAAAATTTGTGTTGTTTACTCTTTCTTTTTGTTGAGTATAACGCACATTTTGTGTGTGTAGAGGATATGTGTTCCTTCTGGCAGTATTCATATTGTCCACACCCAATCTCATACTGGTCACAAGATCCCTTCTTTCTCACACCAATCACAGTGTCCATTATCTCTCTCATATTCGTGATATCCACAACTTTCTCCCAGCAATCACAGTGTTTGTTCTCTCTCATATTCATGATATCCACAACTTTCTCCCACCAATCACAGTGTTTGTTCTCTCTCATATTCATGATATCCACAACTTTCTCCCACCAATCACAGTGTTCATTCTCTCTCATATTCATGATATCCACAACTTTCTCCTACCAATCACAGTGTTCGTTCTCTCTCATATTCATGATATCCACAACTTTCTCCCACCAATCACAGTGTTTGTTCTCTCTCATATTCATGATATCCACAACTTTCTCTCACCAATCAGTGTTCGTTCTCTCATATTCATGATATCCACAACTTTCTCCTACCAATCAGTGTTCATTCTCTCTCATATTCATGATATCCACAACTTTCTCCCACCAATCAGTGTTCGTTCTCTCTCATATTCATGATATCCACAACTTTTTCCCACCAATCAGTGTTCATTCTCTCTCATATTCATGATATCCACAACTTCCTCCCACCAATCAGTGTCCGTTCTCTCTCATATTCATGATATCCACAACTTTCTCACACCAATCACAGTGTTTATTCTCATCATATTCATGATATCCACAACTTTCTCCCACCAATCACAGTGTTTGTTCTCTCTCATATTCATGATATCCACAACTTTCTCCTACCAATCACAGTGTTTGTTCTCTCTTATATTCATGATATCCACAACTTTTTCCTTCACAGTGTTCTTCTCTCATATTCATGATATCCACAACTTTCTCCTACCACAAATCACAGTGTCCACAACTTTCTCTCATAATCATGATATCCCACAACTTTCTCTCACCAATCAGTGTTCGTTCTCTCTCATATTCATGATATCCACAACTTTCTCTCACCAATCACAGTGTTCGTTCTCTCTCATATTCATGATATCCACAACTTTCTCCTACCAATCAGTGTTCATTCTCTCTCATATTCATGATATCCACAACTTTCTCTCACCAATCACAGTGTTCGTTCTCTCTCATATTCATGATATCCACAACTTTCTCCCACCAATCACAGTGTTTGTTCTCTCTCATATTCATGATATCCACAACTTTCTCTCACCAATCAGTGTTCGTTCTCTCATATTCATGATATCCACAACTTTCTCCTACCAATCAGTGTTCATTCTTTCTCTCATATTTGTGATATCCACAACTTTCTCCCACCAATCAGTTTTCGTTCTCTCTCATATTCATGATATCCACAACTTTTTCCCACCAATCAGTGTTCATTCTCTCTCATATTCATGATATCCACAACTTCCTCCCACCAATCAGTGTCCGTTCTCTCTCATATTCATGATATCCACAACTTTCTCACACCAATCACAGTGTCTATTCCCATCATATTCATGATATCCACAACTTTCTCCCACCAATCACAGTGTTTGTTCTCTCTCATATTCATGATATCCACAACTTTCTCCTACCAATCACAGTGTTTGTTCTCTCTTATATTCATGATATCCACAACTTTCTCCCACCAATCACAGTGTTCATTCTCTCTCATATTCATGATATCCACAACTTTCTCCTACCAATCAGTTTTCGTTCTCTTTCATATTCATGATATCCACAACTTTCTCTCACCAATCAGTGTTCGTTCTCTCTCATATTCATGATATCCACAACTTTCTCCCACCAATCACAGTGTTTGTTCTCTCTCATATTCATGATATCCACAACTTTCTCCCACCAATCACAGTGTTTGTTCTCTCTCATATTCATGATATCCACAACTTTCTCTCACCAATCAGTGTTCGTTCTCTCTCATATTCATGATATCCACAACTTTCTCCCACCAATCACAGTGTTCGTTCTCTCTCATATTCATGATATCCACAACTTTCTCCTACCAATCAGTGTTCGTTCTCTTTCATATTCATGATATCCACAACTTTCTCTCACCAATCAGTGTCCGTTCTCTCTCATATTCATGATATCCACAACTTTCTCCCACCAATCACAGTGTTCGTTCTCTCTCATATTCATGATATCCACAACTTTCTCCTACCAATCAGTGTTCGTTTTCTTTCATATTCATGATATCCACAACTTTCTCACCAATCAGTGTTGTTTGTTCTCTCTCATATTCATGATATCTACAACTTTCTCTCACCAATCAGTGTTCGTTCTCTCATATTCGTGATATCCACAACTTTCTCCCACCAATCACAGTGTTCGTTCTCTCTCATATTCATGATATCCACAACTTTCTCCTACCAATCAGTGTTCGTTCTCTTTCATATTCATGATATCCACAACTTTCTCTCACCAATCAATCAGTGTTCGTTTCTCTCTCATATTCATGATATCTACAACTTTCTCTCACCAATCAGTGTTTGTTCTCTTTCATATTCATGATATCCACAACTTTCTCTCACCAATCAGTGTTCGTTCTCTCATATTCATGATATCTACAACTTTCTCACCAATCAGTGTCCGTTCTCTCTCATATTCATGATATCCACAACTTTCTCTCCCACCAATCACAGTGTTCGTTCCCTCTCATATTCATGATATCCACAACTTTCTCCTACCAATCAGTGTTCGTTTTCTTTCATATTCATGATATCCACAACTTTCTCTCACCAATCAGTGTTCGTTCTCTCTCATATTCATGATATCTACAACTTTCTCTCACCAGTCAGTGTTCATTCTCTCTCATATTCATGATATCCACAACTTTCTCACACCAATCACAGTGTTCGTTCTCTCTCATATTCATGATATCTACAACTTTCTCCTACCAATCAGTGTTCGTTCTCTTTCATATTCATGATATCCACAACTTTCTCTCACCAATCAGTGTTCGTTCTCTCTCATATTCATGATATCTACAACTTTCTCTCACCAATCAGTGTTCGTTCTCTTTCATATTCATGATATCCACAACTTTCTCTCACCAATCAGTGTTCGTTCTCTCTCATATTCATGATATCTACAACTTTCTCTCACCAATCAGTGTTCATTCTCTCTCATATTCATGATATCCACAACTTTCTCTCACCAATCACAGTGTCTGTTCCCATCATATTCATGATATCCACAACTTTCTCACACTTATCCTACCACACTCACTGTCAGTATTTACAGGACACAAACCACTGACTATTTCCTCTGTGACCTCACCAGTCCAGCTGCTGACTATCTAAATAGCTGTCTCTTCCACAGCAGCCTAATTGTGTTTATGGTCATCTGAGATAGTTTGGGCAGTAAAGGGCTGATAAGATTGTTGGATGTGACAGTTATAGCTATTCCTCACATACTGGACATGACTGATAGTTATCTGATATGGTCTTTTACCAAGCTCTTCCTCATAGCTACCCATGGAGCTCCCTGTCTGTAGAGGAGGACATGCTTGTGGCAATGGGTCTGCTACTGGGATGGATAACGTTGTTATGCAATGTGTCACTGGGACACGCCAAGCAGTGTCATGACATCAATACTATTGTCCTAGAACTCCTCTCACGAAGCAACCTTTATTAAGGTTAACCTTAACTCCCATTCTTTACCACTGCACAAAGGTTACCTTAGTGACTTACGATTACCTTAGTGCTTTGTGAAAGGAGGCCCTGTTCTGTTGTGTTAACTCGACGTTGATGGGTGCAATATTGCTGATATTGTGTTAAAGGTCACATGCAACGCATTACATTTTTTTAAGCTTTGTAAATTTGAGAAACTTTTCATCTGTTCCTTGAAGATAAATATACGTTTCATCTGAGACTTCTCTTGATAGACATAACAAACTATGGCAACTTGAATACATGTTGAGTACCCCAAGAGCTTGTCATAAGACACAAAAAGGGTAAAATGAGGATTGGGTGGTGAGGCTCAGTGACTTGGTTTATAGCATACTCACATTATCGACCACTGCATTGCGAGGTCAAGACTCCAGTATTTACAGGTGGCTGTCATTTTGCCAGAATATTGTTTATTGCCGAGTTAAACAGCAAGCACGCAAGCCTTACTCATACTATTAACCACTGACTGGATCATTTACTGACTGCTGTGATAAAGCTGGAATGAAGTTACTTTAGATCTTAAGTTGATTAGAGCTATAAAAACACAATGCAAGATATTGTTCGAAATTGCTTCTTGGTTCGCTCATCTCCTCCCATTAACCAGGGTTGAAGATAGTGTTTCAGGTAATGGGGAAGGAAGAGAGACATAGACATGCTCATGTAATATATCAAAGATCTCTCACAGATATGGAGTATGCTCTTCAATGTCTGCATACTCAAGGATTTACTTTGCACAGTACCTTGCAAAATGAAGATCCCCTTTACTC